TTAAAAATAAAGAGGTCATGTATTTTTCCCAAGCACTCCTTTCTACAACTACCAAGTCATGGTGATTATACAAATATACCAAGATCCTCTACAGATAACAGAAAAACATCCACAAAGTTAAATCGAAAAGCAGATCTAGCTACAATAGGCATATTGAGGCTCTTCTTCTCATCTACTTAACCCTTCTTGATTAAAATCAAGAACACTCAAATTCCACATTTTTTATCCATCAATTGCATGGACTATTTGTGGGTTAGTTTTCGGTTCAGCTTGCACATACCTCGACTAATTATTTGGCGCCTTGCTATACTGTGAGGCAAAGGTTTACAGAGAGCTAAACACACATCTACTAGTTAATTCGTACTGCTACATTCTAACCTAGATCAATGTTCATAACACAGGTAAGTTGAAGTAAATTGGGTGAACAATTCTTGCTTGCAATTCCAATAGTAATAATAAAACCCAAGATTTTCGAAGCAACTTCCCAATTAAATTCCAATTTTAATTTCAAGAATTCATAAGAACACAACTTAATCAACTCATTCCATGGAAGATTTTCATAATTAAAAAAAAAGTACCTTTTGGTATTCGGATCCCCAAGTTGGGTTTACATAAAGCAGAGAAGGAGGGAAATTGAGATATAGAATTTGAAGAGAAAACTGCAGTTGCTGTTGCACCCATATTTTCTTAGAAAACTATTTTTTCGATTCTTAATGAAGATTACATATACCGTAGACTCTTTATTTTTAGTGAAACACATTCATTCAACACCACAAAAAATAGTAGATGTGTATGCAGGCTGACCACAAAAGCCATGTACACATTTTTGTGTCTCATCGTCACTTATCACACGTGCTATTTGCAAGTAGAATGTGGTTTTGGATGAGAAAAGGATTTTTTTTTTAAAAAAAATAATTCTGTTGTTCGGTATTTATATTGGAGCGTCATGATGGAGCTCGATTAAATTTGAATTCACGTCAGGAAATGCCATATTAGGATAAACGCTCCCAGACAAAATTGACATTCATATCAAGGTACTTGAACCTGAAATCTTTGATTAAAGATGAAGGAGCACTTACCACTCCACTTGATTTTTGTTTGTTTCTTCACCAATTATTACAGTCACCCTTTCTGAATGTTCATTTGTAAAAGGAAAATGAAAAAACAAGCAAAGTAAACGAATCCTTTTATCAACATGTATAATCAAATTTTGTACTAAAAGGACATGGTCAGATCTTGATGAAAACAAATTTCTATGTAAAAAATATGTAACATGAATGAAATAAAAAAGATTGGAGCATTTTATCCTTCTTCTCAGTTCAAATATGAGTCCCAAGTCGTCTTAAACTTTTCTTGACCCTTTGTGAAGTTAAAGAGACATTATGTTTTGTCAAATTAAAAATAATCTGAAAAGGGCATGTTCCCTTTGTACCAAGATTGGAATAAAAAAACCAACCATGAACATAGTAAAGCTGACAGATTTGATCTTTTCATTATTTATTACTCATGCTAAACAGAGAAACCATGATTACATCTTTAATTATAGCTCATAGCTCATATCATCATTCATCGAGTATCAAATATCACTAAGTATAAAAAAACAAGAAATAGATCTTATAAAGATTGACTAGACTATATAGTATATAAAATACTCTCACAGAATATATATAAATTTATATAAACATAAGTTCAAACGTATACGCAAGCTTGCTCATTTAAATATTTGAGTCCAATTTGAGCTAGATTAATAATAAGACGTACAAAGTTCATACTTTTGTTTGTGAATCAATTTCAAGAAACACTAAATCATGAACATATGCATACTTTCAATAGTGTAAATGATTCATGCTTTCAAAACTCAAATTTCTAACTGGACCAAGAATTTGTCACAATTTACAGTCATGATCATTTACAACATTTGGACAATAAAACCAATAAAATAATCAAAAACACAATGGATGAAAGTCCAATAGCCACACCAAAAACAACCCTGCTTGGTCCATGTTCATGTTTAGGTGGTGGACCATCATCCTCGGCAGTATCATCACTGAAATCTTCCTTAGGAGGCGGCGGAGACAGTGGCAATCCATGTTTATCACAAGGGGCAATGCCAAGTTTCAGTTTTGAAGACAATGTGGAATGATTGTAGCAAAGATTTGAATTTTCTCCCACTTTGAACACAACTAGTTTCTTGATGAAAGAAGCATTGAATGGCAAAACCCCTTCGAAATTGTTTCTTTCAAGATTCAAGTATTTCAATCCCTTCATATCTGAAATGAACTTTGGAACAGTTCCATTCAATTGGTTTGATCCAAGATCAAGATGGACTAATCCAGGGATTGCAGCAATCGATTTCGGAATACTTCCAGACAGAGCATTTGAAGCTAATGACACATTTTTTAAAGAAAGTAAGTTACCAAATGAATTTGGTATAGTCCCATTGAGTGAATTTGAAGAAAGATTCAAATGCAAAAGATTTTCAAGTTCAGTTAAAGAACTTGGTATTTTCCCTTTTAGTTGATTCCCAGATAAATCAACATAAGTAAGATTCATATGCCATTTTGTAGGAAGAACCCCTTTGAGATTTGCATGAGATATTGTGACACTCTGCAAGTTCTTGATACTGTTCAAGATTATAGAAGGGCCACTAGCAGAAACAGGAACATGTGACACTGTTAAACTTGTCACATTGCACAATTGAATTAGCCAAAGGCTTGTGAGTTTCTTGAGGGAGTTGATGCAAGTGAAGGATTGGAGATTGGAGGAAAGTTCAGAAGGGAAATGAATAGGAGAAACAGGGCAGTTGATGAATTGTAAGTCTTGGAGAGTGGAGAGAGTTTTGAGAGATGTTTGGGATAATGTAACATCATTTGAACAGTTTATGAGTTTGAGGGAGATGAGATGGTGAAAGGGAGTTGAAGAGTCACAAATGGTGGAATTGTGAAGGGGAGAACAGGGGTCTTTTCCTGTTGGTACATTTAGTGATCTGAGAGCTTTGAGTTGGTTTGGGTCAAGATTAGTGGATTGAGATGATGATTTTGTGGAGAGGAGAAAGAGGAGAAGGGTCAAGGAGAGGAAGAATGGAGCCATAGTTGAAGAAGAAGAAGAAAGGAAGAAGATTTGGAGAAGGAAAAGAAGAGAACTTCTTGTGAAGTGTGAGGGTAATGTTGGAGTTTGTACAAGAAAAGGATTTTGAGAGGGCGGAGCCCGTTGTGCTCAAAGGCGAAACCAGGATTTTCAATAAGGAGGTTTAAAATCTGTAAAAACATACACATGAAATAATCGAAAGGGGTTTGACATCTACTATATATACATATAAAATTATTTTAACCATATATAAATAATATAATTCCGTCGAAGGGGTGGCTTTGTGCTCGAACCCTGTTGCACCATGACGCGCTGTTTACGAGTCGAATCTTAGTGGACACCTTGGATTGAGGAATTATCACAGAGTTGGTTTGGGTCAAAAAGGTGTTTACATAGGTAAAAATTATTAGTGGCTATGTTTATACATGAACTTGATCATTATGATGAAGTATTATTCTATGCTAAGTTGATGTGTTTTCATGTGAATATTGAGTACGGTAAGTATTTATCATTTAAATAAGCTTATAAGCAAAACTTGTAAACATTTTTTGGGGTTATTTTGTGTTTGAAAATAATATTTATAAGTTACATATTTAAAGTTAGAAGTTACAAGTTAATCACATTCTACTTATGTTATCAAACATTTCTGTCTAAACATAAACTTATTCATAAAATTAGTTTCAATTAGTGTCTTTCACCACTAGAGATATATTCAAAATTTAAATTTTATGAGTTCAAACTCCAGACTATAGTACAACTCGTTTCATGTATTAGGTTCAAAAATCAATTATTTTTATTTTATTTAATGATTTTTTAACATACATACAGAATCTCAACCAAAATTACTGATTGAAATGAACTTATAACTTTAATTATACATTTTCCCTTGTTCAATAATTAATATTTATCACCTATCGACTATTTTTAATCAGCTAATCCACTCAAGTTCAGGTTCTAAATTATTCTCCTCGAATTTAAGCAGATTATTATTAGGACATCACATATTAGCTAGTCATGTTGGCCATCACATGCAAAAGAATTTTTAAAATGTACGAGAAAATTGTTTCGATAAGGTCAAAGGTCGAAATTGCGACTTCCAAAAATTGATCAAGCATTATTATATTTTATAAATTAAGTGCGAAGCAAAGGACATTAAAAAAACAAATGTTGATAGTAGAGATTATTTTGTTTATTAAGTACGAAGCGAAGGACATTTTATATATTAAAATAAGGCTTAATCAGAATCAAAATATTTTCTGCTGGACTCAGGTGCACTCCAACTTTTTTTAATATATATATGTTTTTTTCCTCGTACCATTCTTGGCCCTTTTCATAAACATTTTTCATGATTATTCTTTGCTTGGAATACTAGTTTTTTCATTATTATGTGATTCTATCCTTTGGATTAAAGTATTGTGGTCTACACAACTAGGAAATTCTTTGTTTGTGACAAAACACATTTTACCTTTCACTAACATGAATCAATAAAGTAATAATTCAAAGAAATTTTTTTCAAGGTTAAATTAAAACTAGTAATGACTCTTGCATATCAATTTCGACTTTGATTCTCGAGAATGGAGTTGTTGTTGTCAGTTTCACTCCATGAATGGAATTTTTCTATGCAAATTTGTATTAGTTGGACTTCAATACGGATATAAAGTATAGGATGAGAAAAAAAGAAGTTATGGTTTTTCCAAAATTTTAGTTTGCCCTCTTTGAAAGACTTCCTCTAATTAGACTTTTTTTCAAAGGTGGATTATTAACAAAGGGCTGAATAATTAAGGTTGTCCTTTTTAAGGTCACATATAATCAAGGATTTTGCTCTTAAACTTGATTTTTGAGGCCATTTATTAGCTGTTAGTTAGTCAAAAGTTTAATCAAACTGCTTGATTAAAGAATGAATGAATAGCACATTTTGAGTCTAAAGTGTGTTTACCAGTTCAGTTAGAACTATCAGAAAACTCAAAAGACTAGAAAAGAATTCCATTAATCTTAAGTACCATAGTACTTTTCATTATCAGTTCAACTTTACCTTTGTAATTTCAAAAGTTTCAATTAAAAGTTCAACATTCTATTTCCAAACAAATCTTCTACTGGAAAAACTGATACAAGCTGCTCAAACTGTGCAAGAATTGAAGAGTTTTCACCTCCATATTACATGGAAAAAAAAGCCTACATTATCAAACATGTGGGATGGTTCAAGAAACTTGTTCGAAGCTCAACAATCCATGTCGATGCAGTTTTGAACCATGGCTGAAGGGTCATCTTTGCTGACAAATGGATTAATCTTGACCCAAACAAGTGAGAAAACAGAAGCCAACAGAACAGACCATAGCACAACAATAGTTGGAGTTCGATTTTGGCGTCCCATGAGACCTTTGAGGAATGGATAAAGATGAAGGATCACCCAAAATGAGAAGAACACTTTGCCAAATAAAGGACCCCAAGCCTCATATCCTTTGTTGAGTGCATCAGAGAAACCAGCAACAACACCAACTAAGTTGACAATGAGAATTGTGGTTGGAGGGATCAAGACTGTTGTCCATTTGAATAGGTAGAGATCGGCAAACTCTCCATCGTCTGCTGCTTTGGTTGTCACTGTGAAGTTTGTGTCTATACCAGCAAGCATTTTGAGGAATCCTTGGAAAACTGCAAACAGATGTGCAGAGACACCACCAATCACCCAGAACTGCTCGTTACGCCACCAGTCCTCTATGCCTATACCACTCCATCGTAGCTCGAGCACACTTGTTACAATGATGGAAAGGAAAAGACCAAGGAAGAGTATACTTGCAACGTTCGATAGCTGCATAGAAGGCACAAGAATTTCACTCAGTAATTATATATAGAAACTAAAGAAAGAGCAGCCGTAATACCAGCTCCTAATGTGCACTCATTTGCAAAATCTTTAAACAATTTCGAAAGTTGCAAACAAGACAGAGAAGTGGAAGCAGTTACCGTAGGGATGATGAATTTTCCTGTAAGAAGGCAAACAGCAGGAAGAATACAGTATGCAATGAGGGGAAGTGAAGTGAAAGGATAGACAATGGTGTTGGTGTAGGCAAGTCTTTGGAGCCATTTGAGGCGGCCGCCTCCAAATCCATACCACAAAGGACAATGCCTACTCAAGAAAATCTCAACCGATCCAAGAGCCCATCGAAGAACTTGGTGCAACCTGTCTGACAAGTTGATAGGAGCTGACCCCTTGAAAGCAGGCCTCAACGGCATACAGTATATTGATCTCCATCCCCTGCACTGCATCTTGAAGCCAGTCAAAATATCCTCTGTCACTGAACCATAAATCCAACCAATCTGAAAAGGACATACAAAGAGAAAAGTGTTAGCCCCTTCTTTCCATATGTGAAACCAAAAGAGAGATTCAATTTTTACTTCTTTTCCCCATGCTGTCTTCTCTTCATAACCACAGCCGATAACATGAATTGCTTCCCTGATCAGTGTCGATGGATTAGCAGAATCAGGTACTCCTCCATTTTCCATCAATGTAGACTCGATAAACACGGATGACATGCCAAAAGTTTTCTCAAAACTCATCTGAGAGATAAGCAAGGACCTCTCGTGATCGTCATAATCTGAAGACACCAAAATGATAGCTTCAAGGTTAAAGTTCCAAAGATAATGGAGGCCAATTTCTCACTAGTTCCAAAGATACTAGAAAACTCACTTTCAATTTCTCTTAGGTTGAAGATTGCGGAATTCAGATCTTCTCTTTTTGCCTCACGATAAACCTCAGTAAGATCCTTCTCTTTGGCTGGTTTCTTGCGGCGACAGCAGCAAGAGAAAGATGAAGAAGATTTATGTATTGTAGGCAGATTAGAAGGGCTGTAACCATAAAGTGCTTGCCTATTGAAAACAGTTCCTGTACCGACATATACAGGTCCTTGGATGCCATCCAAACCTTTCATGTTAACCTGAAAACATGATAAAATCCATCTCAATCCAGTTGGCAACATCAAGAGATTCAATACTAAACAACTGATATTATGTGTATGATGTTGAATGAAGCAAGATTATTCTTCAATATTCAAATAGATGAAGAAAATCACTTGAGAAGCTTAAAGTAATATAATAGTATGATATTAAGTTTAGTTGCTCACGATACTTACATCAAAGAAGACTATGTTTCTGTTGGCATATCTGTCACTTTTATCAATCCCATCAAATCTCTGAGGGAACTGCACATAACAGACGTCTCTGCCGACTTGTGGATCCATTAGGAAACACATAGCCTCACGAATGGCTTTGCTGTTATTGACGTAGTGATCACAGTCAAGATTGAGAATATAGGGTGCATTTGTGAGAACTGCAGACACCCGTATCTGAAATAAAACATTAAGTTTGTAAAAGGAATTAAATAAAAATAGTCTGAGATTAATGCTAATAAATTGTATCTGAACACACCAGAGCATTTTCAGCACCAGCTTTTTTGTGGTGTTGATAACCAGGTCTTTTTTCTCTTGAGACGTAAACGAGTCGTGGAAGTTCATTTCCTTCAATGTCATGGACACCACTATGTCCCAAGAAAACCTGTAAAGAAGAAATATTATGGTGCTTATTTGAACTCTAAAATGCTTCTGTTGAATAGTCAAGTTTCACAAATACTAGAACTTCAAGAATCAAGATGATCTGAAAGCAGCGAGTACAAAGATTGTTGCAAAATCAATGACCACTTACCTGAATCATTCCAGGATGATCACGCGGGTTGTTTCCTGGCCAAGGAGTTCCATCTGCCATGGTCCAGCCATCCTCCGGTGTTTTCTGAGCCTTGGCAACTAAAGCATTTACCCTTACTTTATACTCTTCATATTCTCTCTGCAATACCAAATAAAAGATTAATCATCTAAACAATGCAGCCCAATTCTTGAAGCAGATGTTTAGTTCTTACAAAATCCTGCTCTTACCTTCATTGCTCTGCGCTCCTTGACGAAAGAAGGCTGCACTTTGTCTTTCAAGTAATCAAACTTTTGCGTGAAGTAGAACTCAGGCGCACGCGGTTCAATTGAAAATTTCTTGCAGAATGGTACCCATTTCCTTGCAAATTCAGAAGTCTCAGCTAGTGACTCAAATGTAAGCATTGAGCCACCATCATCGGATACATAGCAGGATACTTTCTCGACAGGATAGTCAACTGCAAGGATCGAGAGAACAGTGTTGGCAGTAATCAATGGAGGTTCTTTCATGGGATCCACCGTACTGACAAAGAAATCTACAGGTGCAAGCTGACAAGGTTCTCCCTCCCTTTCATACCTAGAAACGTTCAAACAAAGCTAACTTCAAGTGAAAAAATGCAAAGAAGTTTGGATATATTCTATTAGCAGTGATATGAATATTTGTGCAGAAGATTTCTAACCTTGCAGAAAGCCTGTCAAGATATGTCTCTCGGTTGATAGGAGACCATTTAGGGAACTGATCCAACACCCACGAGAAAGCGAACCAGATCTCACAGAAAACAGAAGTAAACCACAGGGGATAGGCACTTTCAACTGGATGTGTTACTCTATAGTGGAAGAAAAAGCAGAGAACTATCAATCGAACAATAATTACAATCCTGTATGGAGTAATTTGAGACTTCGGCACTGGAATGATTCTTGAAAGTGGCTCTGCAGCATCTGCTAACCTGCACAAGTTATATTACAAGTAATTAATGCATGCATGATAAAGATAGAGCAAGTTCAAGATTCAAAATCACTGAAGGTGGATCAAACATCAGTCTTTTACAACTAGAAAATTACCTGTTTTCTTGATAGTCATGTAGACGTCTAGACAAAACAAAAGAGAACTATGAAATCAGACAAAAAACTGCAATACTATTTATAACATGGTTACTTCCCAATTTCACGAAATTTATCATCTAGTTAAGTTGCTTTTGCAAGGCCTACTTACTGTGGCTTTTCTTCCATCTGCTGCTCAGGTGGAACTTCAGCAGCTTCTTGTACAACAGCTTTACTTTGGTTCTTCTTTTTCTTGTTTTTCTTTTCCTTCCAACTTTCCACTCTATTCTTCCATATTGGATTCCCGGTATCATCATGATATTCTTCATGAGGAAATAACAAATAATTTAATATAATGTTATCTATTGAACTAGACTAAAAACAGCTCTTATGAATGTTGTGCAGCAAAGCTTCCATCTACTTACCGCTGTCCACAGTTGAAACAAAACTGACAGTTCTAGCATGAACTCCAGCATCCTATATTGGAAACAATAATTCGTCACCAACTAAAATTCAATTTGTAGACTATAGATGTGAAGTTTCACTAGACATGACTTAGTACCTGTGCAGTATCAGGATGAGAAGCCACTATAGCATGGTTTGTAGATTCTTGCTCATTTTCTGCATAATAATAAGCATAGTACTCTGTTAGACTTTCCTTAGTACTTTTTTTTTTTACAAATAGTCTCATGGGATCAGAAATAAAGCCAAATATCAAGATCTAGTCATAAGAGAAAACAAAATTTACTTACCATCATATGGAGTTGCACAGCGTAGACATGTGTTGCGTCCTTCTTTGATCTCATAATCTATGCAAGTCTTACAAACAGGATAGTTACACTCATGACAAGCCACAAAGACTTCACCATTATTATTAGCTAACCCCACTTGTTCGCCGCAAATGTTGCATATTGGAACCCCTGACTCCATCATTTTTTCCACTCACAGAAACAGTACTAGTCACTAGTACTCTTGGCCACAGCTAGCACACAAATGATGGTTTTCTCCTGTGTCAGTGGCAAGAATATAAAGAAGGAATGTTTTCACTGACTTGAAAAAAGCTAAGGAATGAGAAATATTATTGTAATGGTGAAGGAAAGTGTGGAGGGTGGTTACAAGGCCTTGTAGGTTGAGAAGTTGGTATCAAAGGTATGTTTTTCAGAGAAGAAAGCAATGTGTGGGCAGATTTTTAAAAAAAATTGCTGAAGTTTGAAGGAATGAGTATGGTTGGAGTTTATACATCTTAACCAACTTATTGTACCAAACTTTAAGTCAGGTTGCAGCTTCAAGACTGAGCCACCCTCCACACCTCATTTGACAGATTTAGTCAAGCCACATGCCTTATTTTCTTCTTTTTTTTTCTTTGGATTCAAGTTATATATATTAATAGTGTATAAAATCTTTTATACACTTAATATAATATGTTAGTTATCATTTTTATTAGACTAGCAAATAATACCTTATCATAGAAACTTGTCTGTAATAAGTGTATAAAAAAATATATAACTTAGGCTCTTTTTTCTGATCAAGGAAAACTCTCTCTTAAGATCTATAGATTTACTGTCAAAATCAAGAAAGAATAAAAACTTCTAACATGAAATGATGTGATTCAGACCTTATATCCTTTTTTTACCTCCCCTCTGTTTTATTCTCTCTCTAAGTTAAATATTTTTTTGTAAATATTTGGTCTGAATCACATACTATTTCAATCCATTCTACCTGGAATAGTAACTAAGCTCAATTTATTCATGTTTTTATGCTCTAATTAAAGATTCCCTATTTTTATATCTCAACAAATAAGATAATTCTTTTCACCAAACATATGTGAATACAATCGCAATAAACATAATCTAGTTCGACTCTCTGAAATCATCCTGTTCCAATTAACAAGATTAAAATTTTTAACATCAAAATATGGAAACTCGCGATAATCAAAGGTGAAATTCATGTTACCTTTACATATGGTGATGTAAAAATAGATGCTATACATACTATAAAGCTCAATATCAATGTATTGGACACATCAATGACCTAATGTACCAAGAAAAGTGTTTGAAAGAGGCCCACAATTAGGTATGCAAGTCTCCAACAAATAGGTAGACCTCACAATTGCACGCACACTCAAGCACACATGCAATAGACATCTTCATTCAGGGAGTTTTTTTATTATTGTATTGCTGCTTACAGATTAAGAGAATAATATACAAACAATATCGCGTTGAAACAACTATCTAATTAAGTAATATCAGTTCTCAAAATCTACGTCTCTGGATCCAAATCCCAATCCCTACCCAAAAAAAGGGAGAGAAAATGAAAAGACAAGCTCAGATTCTTGATATCTCAGATATCTTTTTGCAATTACATTGGAAAGAAAACATCTAATCCTACAGAAGCACAAGCATAAGCCAATATCATTGCTGTAGCACCTAGCTGTTTAGGTCACACAACCCTGCAGGGTAGAACCTTTGTTTGGCAAAGCCATGCCTGTCCAGTTCAGCATACTAGAGAAAAGACCTAAAACAGGCATATTGGGAGCATAACTTTCTACGAGGGTAACATCATGTACAAGTAGCAATATCTCAGCTCAATCTGTGCTGCTTCACCCGATGTTGTAAACCTTCACTATCTTGGATGTATCACAGACAATTAGGTTCTCTGAATCAGTAGGAGTTGTGCATAGCCAATTTACCTAATTAATTAAAGAGCCAATCGTGAGACAAATATACTAAACAATTGAGGCATAAAGTTTCAGACAGAGAGGGCATAAATGGCAATGAAATGGAACTCACTTTTCTGCTCAAACTTAAGCTAGAACGAAGGAAATCGGTGCCACTGCTTGTCTCACCAGCCATGAAAAACTTAGACCAATCCCATACTTTTACTTGTCTGTCATTTCCACCTGAAATTATGAACTTCCCTTTGTCTCCAAATGTGGAAAAAGTCCTAATAGAATTTCAGCAGATTAGTGCTGGCTGGTGGGGTATATTTGAGCCTGCTACGCTATAAAGAAAACTTACACACAGGATACAGCAGCAGTGTGTCCTCCCAAAGAGTGATCAAGGTGCAGGTCTCCTCCATTTTGATTCTCAATTTCAGGATCAGCAGAAGAACCGCCAACTTTAGGGGTTGACTTAGAACCTTTCTTGGGTTTAGCCGAACTCTTAGACTTGACAGCATTGAGCTCTGACTCAACGTTTATTACAGAAACAACTCCATCACCCCTAGCCACAGCACAAATCTTCACAAATTTATCCACCACATCAACTTCAGGAAGAGCCAGAGCATGAACAAAGGCAGGATTCAAACATTGTCCCGTATTACCTTTATTTCCTGCATTAAGTGTGCCTACAGCAAACAAAGAGAACTTCAACAGCCTATCTAATAAGCTAGATATATCAACATGTAATATTCTAATACATTAGCTGGGTCATGAGTATTGGATGCACGTATGTATCTGACACTACATTCAGCCATTCTAGGTTTTGTATGCACTGTGAAGGATCCACTGGAAATGCCCATGTCTGTCCAAGACGGGTGAACTTATGTAAAATGATTAAGGGGGTACCATAGATGTTGCAGAAAGGCTGAGTTAGATTCTTTTGGACAATGGCAATGAGAGAACCAAAATTAAATGTCACTGGCAGGAAGCAGTAATCATTTTTTAGGTCTCACGAACTTGACTGAGCAGTAGGAGTTTTGAGCATTAAAGTAGGCAGATCCTACTAGAGTAGTCCTGAACTTCTTCTGCCCAATCTTGCTAGGCATACAGCTTGAAATGTAGAAAATCACTCTTGCAAAAATTTATGACACACCCAAGCTAAGAGCTCTAGAATAATATTTAAAATGGGAGGAAGATACTTTATTCAATCAGTAAAAATGGGAGGAAGATAATAGACTATCTACTCTCAATTCCCCTTTCTCACCAACAAACTGAAATGTCAGTGATGTTTCTGAGCAACAGAGGATACTTTTTAGATAAAATTCTAAATGTGGACCATTCCATGCTCCACCAATTGACCAATGACCAGTTATCTGATGAATAATTTACACATTGAGTATTTCTTCTGCCACATGGCCAATACCATAGAAAATGGAAAATAGAAAGCAAAGTTACACAGTATTACACACTTGACTCATACTCCTGAAACTTATCTCTCTGCGAATCCATGTTTGCTTATAACAATATCATTTTATCTATTTAGACTTAAGGGGAAAATATTAATACTGTCTTACACATATTCAACCATTACATATCCTATTTAAACTACCATATGAAATATTCAATAAAAAAACATCTGTTCTTAATTAACCAACTACTATAATGGAATAGGAGGATTGTGAATTCTTGGTTCTTTTACTTTACATTGTAAGAAGGATAAGCCACTAGCCTATTTACCTAATATAAAAAAAAATTAAATGTTTTCCACAAAGGTATAGACTATCACTCTCTATGTTTTCTAGTTAATCCCCTGTGATCAAAATATAGGGAGATAACTACCAGATATTCTAAAACTTAGTAAGGAAGCCTATAACTAAGTGGGTATGTATCTAGTGTAGTAAGGCACACCTACAATTCAGATATGCAGTTCTGGTGAAATAAGGCATGCCTAAACTTGAAGGTACATATTACCAAAGGGATTAATACTAGAAATTGCAGATCTAGAAAAGAGTGCATAGTAGAAGGCTTAACATACCAAAGTCCCAAATCTTCCGCGGCCGTCCCTTGGAGAAGTCCCATAGCACAAATTTTGAATCAAGACCCCCAGTAATGACTAAAAAATGACACAAAAAAACACAACATACTGTCACCATCAGCTTATAAAAAGCATTCCTGGAAATTTTAGCTAGAAGGCTAACTTAACAAGAGCTTTAGCAGACTGACAATATATGGTTTGGCATAGCAATTGACAGTAAACATTGTTCTTCAAACGTCATCAGAAATTAAATAATATGTAGCAGGCTGTCACAATTTGCATGTTTTACGAAAACCTTATGCACCACTTCCATGTTTTATGAAACCTTATGTTGCCATCCCAAATAAATTAAACTGGTGATTGGTTGCACGAGGAACCCTACATCAAGATTCTCTCGTAAAAACTAAAGGGCCAAGGGATGTCATATACTGTGTGCCTGCATCTCTCTTTGTAGTCTCGCTCTCTCTGTCTCTCTCACACGCACACGGCAAGAGAGAGAGAAACAGAACTGTAAAAGAAGTTTTAATTGATTTCAGTTATCAAAACACATAACTTTATTGCAGATCGCAATTACTTGTATATCATTGTAAAAATGGTATCATTCTTTACAAGATTATGACTAATTTGTCAAATGCTAGCCAATGCAAACCTTCAGAAACCTACCAGCTTAAACTCACAAAGAGACTAGAAGTACAACTTAGAGGAAGAGTTAGTTTCTCCAAGAAATCTGCAGTCTATGTATAAGTAGACATCATATACCTCTAAAATAACAGTGGATAAAAACATTATCATACTTCTTATGGTGCTAAAATTTCCAAGTGTGTCTGGTTCATGCATTTATGTGGGCCATTCAGTTCAACATTTATGTGGGTCATATGTATATCTAGAGGGGGAAGGTCAATGTCACGGAGGGGGATGTAGGAATTCCGAAAATTTTAGTTCAAAAAGTACCTTCCCAAGGTCTCCAAGGGATGAATTGAACACTGCTACATATCTGATAAGATAGTGAAGGTCACAAATGATGATAGGTTCGGAATAAAAAAAATAGTGCCCTATGTGAAGTTGGGGGAAGAAAAACTGGAATTAACCTTCACAGCCAAAATACAAGTAGGACTTCGCATGCCAAAAAGATAATACAAGAAGGGCAACAAATAAATAGAATGTAGAACAGTAAATTTTAATTAAAATGAATGACATACAAAAATCACCATGTTTCTGGGGAAAAGTACAAACTTATTATAGCAATTATATAAAAAAGGATACACTTGTGTGGCCACCTCTCAATGTTTTGTACATGCGATTTTGGCGGATGTCAATGATCTGCAACACAAGTAGCACTTAGATGTCCAACATACTTAAGGAAACAATGAAACAGTTTTTATCTTTTAAAAGTTTCACAACGCATCAGTTTTATCTCTTATGGGAACAGCGAAACAGATGTCCAACATACTTATAGAAACAGAGGAACTGTCTGTCCTACCTTGACATCACCACTATCATCTGCTGCAGCGAGGAATGATGACTTCGAGCTGCAAGCAATCTACAAAACAGAAAGGTTATGCACACAGAAACAGAATAGGCATTGTTTGAAGATATAATACATCTAATTGAGGTACCTGAAATATGACCTTGTTAGATAGGAGAAATCATAAGAGACTATAATGTTGAAGGGAAGATATTTGAACATCACAAAATTAAATGGACAAAGCCTGATACATATGAATGAACAAAATACAGAGTAAATCCTAAATTTCTGTTTTTAAGCCTGTACAAGGTAAATCTGTTGGACATGACATTTAGACTAGAGCCTAAAAACAAAAAAATTGAGAGCACAATTGCCTAAAAGAAACAAGGGAAGCTTCTCGAACAAAGCCCTAAATTTTATCAGAACTTTCAGAGTTCAAATTTGTCAATGTGGAGATCTGGTACAGTTTATTGCAGAGCAATCGATCTATTAGCGTGGTGGTTGAAGCAAAGGGATTTTACAGAATGAGATGGACAGATAAGTAGTGTAACTTTTCCCTGGTTTGTTTACCTAGTCCTGAAATTACATCAACATGTACCACTATTTGGGTTTGAAAAGCAAAGTGATCCATAAAATTTACATGTGTGAACAGGCAGGCAACCACACGAGAAACCTCCTAAATTGATTCTAGCTAAACTCCTTGAGCTAATGCTTAAAAAAACCAAATAAATGGATCAGGTTAAGAGATAAGAATGGTAAATAACTGATACATTTAGCTGAAGTTCTTGGAATCAAAGTCCCAAAATACTCACAAGATGAGAGGCTCAAGACTACTCCCTCTGTCCCAATTTATGTGGACTTTCCGTTTTTCGAGGTCAAACTATGTGAACTATAACCAACATTTTAAAATGTATTTTTCATCATATTGTCATGAGAAAAATTGCAACTTGTAGTACTTCTAGTATAGTTTTTGAATATCTAAATTTTAATTTTAAAACATTAAGTTGATCTAATCCAATTTAGCTTCAAAGATAGTCAAATTAACTCTAGGGAAACGAAAGGAGCCACATAAATTGGGACAGAGATAATAATAAAGAAGATGCTGAAGATAGCAAGATATTGCATTGCCAACTGAACTAATGATCGGGCATACTCCTGATAACATGATATGTGGAAAATAACAAAACGAGCACAATGGCAGATTTTATGCAAAGAGGAGAACAATGTAAAATTTATAGTGCAAAAATCCATTCTTAAAAGGTTTGGACAGTGAGAGAAAGGAAAAAACATAAGGATAAAAAAAGAAATCAAACAGAAATCATACCTGATTTATCTCATCCTTGTTGTAATTGTAACTGTGCAACAGTTTCGATGCAGTAACCTTGTGATACAGTTAAACTGGATTAATAAAAAGATTCTGTGCCCAAAAGTGATAAAAGAGAATAAGTGGAGAGAAGCCAACTCAAACCAAATCACAACATAAAATTAAGGGAAAGCATTTCATTCAGAGAGATGTCGGTAAAGGTCTAAATTTAGAAAATAAATATGCACATTAGCAAAGAGTGCTAAAGCCTTTACCGGCATTAGTTAATTGTCATTGGATTCAATGTCGCTATAGGCTTTAGGGACATTTTTAAAGAGCATTAATTGCCACTAAAAAACATATTTAGCCATTTGTGAGGTACCATAATCACACAAGATGCGGTAAATTCTAAAAGCACATAAAAGAAACAAGTTTTAAAAAAGCACGAGAAAGTAATGGTGGAACAATATAACATTACCATATTCACATCAAAGCATTTGACTTCACTGCCCAATGAGACATAAACAACATCTTCATTTCCTGCACCATGGACACCATGTTTGAAATTGATGACTCTCACAAATTTCAAAATATGCTATCAGTTCCAGCGGAAGGTTATCATCCCTCCAACTAACTTATTACAGTGCAGAACTAACAGAGAACTCAAAATCAGTAGTCACTTAATTCTCAGTAACTGTCCTAAAATAGCATATTTATTTTGTCTAAAGCAGCACCATGTGTTTTTAGTTGGAATGCTCTTTGTTAGTGTTAAGAGTATTAGAGTTGGAATATTAGAAGTTCTTAAGTTAGAGTGGTATATGCCATTTATTATCTTTTCTCCTTTGTTTTAAAAGAATATGGTTTATGCATTATGTTTGACACATATAATTAGGTGTCTTGCATTCATCAATTATCAAGTCATCAATACAGTTCATTCCTGTTCATATTTCTCACAGGTATCAAAGTTTGTACGCTCATACTAGAAACTTAAGTAGAGTCTCTACACCATAGTAGATAGTAGAGACCTACCTAGCTTTTATTTCTTTGCTTAAATAGTTTTACTATCCTTATCTCCTTCCCATGACCGTTCAACAATACCATGTCTATTCTTGGAGACAATTCCAGTAACACTACACCTCATTCGAGGCACCAGTTTTGGCAACATCGTGCCTCTTCCCAGTTATCATTCGGATGGTGCTGTGCATATTTCTTGTTACTATTCCGGTGAAAACACATCTCTTATCCAGTGATATTTTTGGCAACCGTTGTGGCGGCAGTGTGAAACTACCTTTGTCACCACTTATATTCCATAAATTTTCAGTGTGATCTTCTGGCAAAATTTATGGCATGTTTCTTTGGCAATTCTCTGGAGACTTACTTTATTTAGTTATCAAAATAAGCAAATATGTTTTCTCACCTTGAGTTTGAGGGAGCAAGTTAGTACGTGAAATGCTAGCGTTGGAATACCAGATTTAGAACATTAGAACTGTCAGTTTTTAGTACTGTGTCTCATTGAAGAATAAGATATATTTAGTGTTTGACATCTATAAATAGGTGTCCATTGTATTCATCAAATTATCAAATCATTACATTTTTCTTTGCCATATTCAGGGTTAGATGTAGCCTTTCGTCTATGGGTTCATCTGAACCCTTAACTTTCAACACGGAGAATCAAGACATTGTTGTCTCCCAAGCTTTATCTCCTCTCCCACTCCCCAAATAATTTTCTCCAACAAGATTTGAAGTACTTCCATTTAAATCTTTAGTATTCAGACTTCTCAACTCCATAGCATGTGTAATCATAAACATTGTCACAGCGCCAAACAAAAGATAAATAGTTTTTTATATAACCAAAGTGGCGCACAGTTTTAAACTTAGTGGATAATGCATCCACCCTCTCCACTTAAATACCAAGAATTTTTTTCCTGCAGCAAGATTCGGACCCGTGACCATCTAACCCACACATCACGTGTTTTGCTCTCACCACTAGACATCAATCAACTCTACCTCAATTCTAATTGGGGTGGTTTACATGAATTCCCTGCATCCATTAGGCTCCATTTTAGGTCATGATTTGTTAATTGCGAGGATGAGACAAGCTTTAGTCATAACTAACAGAAGAAATAACAAAGGGACCATGTAACAAAATCCGGATATGATGCAATTAACACCAGGACAGAAACACCAGTGGTCTCTCAAGAATGAAATGAAATCCTCATAGACCAAGATGTTTTAGCTCAAAAAAAGTCCCAACACACCAGCCCTCTGTATTGCTCTGTCCATCATCTTATGGTTCTCATTTGGGAGTACATAGATGTAATAAACCTTAATAAATACACACTAAATATTTTGTTTAATCACACAACACCAATTAAATAAGAAGAACCAGTGAAGAAAAAAAAAACACAAACCTGGCTTGAAACATATTGATGAAACTGGGTTACCATTTCCAACATCCATTGTAAAGATTTTATCTTTGCACCTCAAATCGAACCAGCACACACAGCCATCCTAATATTTCCCAATAAAATGATCAAATAAACAAAAAGCAACAGTCGAAAGTAATGCACTTTCAATAAAATTTCAATCTTTATAATCACAAAATTCAAGATTTAGCAGTCAAAACTACCCCTCAAGACCTATGCTTCATCTGGGTGTCTAATTAAACAAAAAAAAAAGTTCTTGGAATTAAAAGGATTCACCTCATCTGCAGTGGCAATAAGACCAGGGCGGTTTTGAGAGGCGATACAGCAAGTGGTGCTGGCTTTGTGACCTTTGAGTTTTCTTGGTTCCTCCATTCTACTCTGCTCGCTCTTGACTCTACCAGTAAGAACCCCTTTTTATACCCTCTTGTGAGTTGTGAAAGCGTTTTCTTTTCAGGGCATCAAACGATGTCGTATTTGTTAGGAAAAATAATACTCCTATTTAAGTAATAAAAATAATATTTTAAGCCACAATATTATACAAAAACACATCTTATGAACTTATTAGTGTGATGCATGCAAGAAACAAGTCTTAATATTGCTAGTAGGAACTAGGAATCAAAATGTTTTTGTGATGTTGGAATCAATCTATTCCGAAAGAAGTATAGCGATCTCATAAAATGAAATTCACTACAATAATTTCGGATTATATGATAGAAAAAGTGGACTAACATAAATTTGAGATACATGTGACTTTCTTTTTTGGTCCCCCAAAACCGGTGTCTAGTGCCTCATATTGGAGCCTGCAAAAGTCCTACGTTAAAAGTAAAGCCTTTCCAAAGATAATGAATAAAAATTAAAAGATTACAGTCTTGTCGTTAATATTAACTTCCTTCAAAGTAAACCCACGCTCTTTGGACATCCATTTGACATGTCTTCCTCAAACAGTAGTCAATGAATCAGAACTGACCCCAACAAACAAAAAACGAAATCTATGTATATTTTAAACAGTAACAATGATAAATCATGGCCGACTTTTCAATTTTATTTGGAAAATCACAATGTTACGCCTGTAGCTTAAAGCAAAAGGAATACCAACACCTAGAAGCCAATGCCATTGAATTACTGAAAGAACAACAAAAAGTCCCGACGCATGTGAACAGACGGTGCGTCAAATAGAAAGATTGACAGGCTTCTAGAATCTGAGTTGCCAAATTTCTATAGAATCGCATATCAAGAGGAGAGGGAAAAGTAAAAAGCTACACAATGTATAACACAAATATACACTATACGTTTGCTTTGGAATTTGATTATGACATAATCCAAAAGGTAACTTTGTGAAATCTATTAGGCCAAAGCGAACAATGTGTAACATAGACTTGGTTCATAACAAAAGAAGAAAATGGAGCTTCAAAGCAAAGTTCAATTTTGTAGTAACTCGGTTTATTTCGATAGCATTTTTATGCCATTCTTGACAAATATTTACATTCAACTGAATCCAAATTAGAACTTCGATAGAATATCTCATTTGGGATTCCAAAACCCACTACGAAAATACAATTTTCTCGTACTTTCTGAAGAAAAAGGAGTTTGCCCTGTTCCTAGTTTAATATACATAACACTGCAACTCGAAGCTCAACAATGTGAGTCAAGAAGCAGCAAAAAAAAAAGGATCAAAAGGCTAACTTTACTCTTCTTAAACATTTTGTAGAGGGAAAAAAAAGGAGAAAAATTTACAAAGTTTTGAACTTTATGCTTTTACTGTGGAAGCAACAGTATGAGCCCACAATTTGAGATTATGTTTGACGTCAATTTCATTGCTCATGACTGGTACCTTCCAATTCATCAATGGATTCATTCTCGTCTTCGTTTCAACAACTTCCCATGCTTCAGAAAGATAAGGCCGGGCTCTTAACTGATCAATTTTTTCTACAAAATTCAGTTTTTGCTTATCATCATCACTGTCCCTGTTTTTGCTTAATTTCTGTAAACCTGGAATAATCTCAACCAAACTTGAATTTACATCATCTTCTGAGAATTCAAATCCAAGATCCATAAACCCTTTTAGCTCTTCATATTCAAGCTCCGATAAGCTCTTGCCAAGACACTTTTCGGTTTTTCTTCTTCTCCTTAATTCCCTTCTTCTACCCTTTACTTTCTTCGATTCTGCATTTTTACTAAAGGGTTGAAAATGGGTTACTGGGAGAACTGAATCTGGTGAAAAAGAATCCGAATCGTAGCTCAAATCATCACTCTGTGACTCTATTTTGATTTCTAATTTTGGTGAATCATATACAGATTCTGCTAATTTTTCTTGAATTTTGTTATCTGGGGTTTTCTGGTAATTCGATAAAGGGATTGAATTTGAATGATTATTGAGAATTTCGAGATTAAACCAGCATGAATCGAAGAGGGTAAGAACAGCCTCAAGGTCCATTAATGGAGGCTGAAAGAAACTAGGAAATTATTAAACACAACTTCTTCTTTTTTTGGTTTTATGAAGAACTAAGTTATCTGTGGGTATATATATTGATCCTGGTGACCAAAACACCCTTCATTATTTCTTATATTACAAAAAAGCTTCAACTTTATTTGTTTACACGTTTTGCAGAGTCAGATGGAGTATTATTTTATTTAGATTTAGAAAAATGTCACTGTACTTAAAAATGTCCACAAAAATTGTTTTAGTTGACAAAAGTACGTAACATCTCCAGGTTTAGTTCCACATTTATCTTCTTTCAATTTACTGTATGCTCTTCAATTTTAAATTGGGATTTGTTAAGTGTGCACGAACGGGTCAATAAAATTTGTGGCTTAAAGCTAATCATCTCTCTAAAAGACCTTAAATTAGTCAAATAAAAGAATTATCTATTTCTATTTAATTTTATTTATGATGATATATGAATCATGTATGTATCTCGGTCATTATAAACTATCTTGTACATATTTTGGTCATTCTCGGTTTTCTATCAATTTTTGCAAAATGTGTTTTAACTTTAAAGTAAAAATATTAATACTAAATATGAAAATTATCTTTTTTAAAATTAACTAAAAAAAATCACATATATGGAATTAGAAGAAGTAATTAATAAGTATCCAATAAAATAATTGACATTTATACTAACTAACTTGATTCCACAATAAGCATTAAAAAGGTTGAATATATTAACACTTGAATTACAGTTTGTTTCACTTGAACTCATGATAAAGTGTTTCTATTAGACACTTATGATTCAACTTTGGAATAACTTTTCTTGTGTTCTCAAACGATTATTACAAAATAAGTTAATTACATAAAATATGTCACTTCCTTTTATATACTCCATAGCAACATTAATCAGAACAGACTCAAGATTTTACAATCTATCAAGATCAATACAAAAAAAGATGATATATTTTAAATGATTTATTTACTTACATGATAAATACTCATATGTAAATGCGTATAAAAAGTTTTTAAAAATTTGAATCTGTTCATAAATAAAATCTGATTACAAATTTAAAGGTTTATCGATGTATTATGCAGACTAAAAGGCAAGAGAATGGAATATGGAGGATGATGATGTGGTTTAAAAGGAGAAGCAAATGATTGCGTGCGGTGCTGACTGAAATGTCAATCTCAATAAGATGCCCTTACCACAAAGGTTGTGATCACGTTGATGCTGGAACATGGCTAAATTGAGGCCTCACTTATTGGAGTGTGGCATGGCCATAGACAGAGTTAGGTGGGGTGTAGTTAGTTTTTTCGTAAATTTTGTATTTATAGTAAAATATTAAAGAAATATATATGTATATTAACAAGTAAATTTCTTAATAAAATTGATTGATAACTCAATGATAAGAAAAGGTGGTGAAAATGTTTTTCACACTAGCTTGTGGGTTCAAATCCCACTAATAATAAAAATTTCTCAAAAGAGGCATTTTATCTATATTTTTCTCTTTTGTCCTAAATTTAGAACTCCTAAAGTCCTAACTCTGACTCCGCCTATACATATGCCAAGCACCAAACTCAAACCATCATGTTAGTGAAATTACACCTTAAATTCAATGATGACTTTTTCATGCTCTTTTACTACTCATAGACAACTAATCATTGAAGGGCATCAATCCAACTACATACACAAAAAAGGTTAAATTTCACTTTCTATTACTCTACACCCTAATGATTCTTTACTTCCAATCAAGAACTTCTTAACATCCTGGTAATTTAGATAATTTAAGATTAATCTTTAGGTAATTGATAATGACTCAGATACAATATGTATCAATAATTTTTTTTGCGTAGTGCTTACTTATTTCTAAACAAATGGACGTTCTAAATGCAAAATGTCTAAAATATGAATTATGTACGTAGCTTCCTTGATTATCAATGCAACATGTCAAACGATGAATATCATGGCAACCTTGCAATTAAATAAACTAGACAGCTCGTTCGATGTCGATATTGATATCGTAAAGTTGTTATCAATCACAAAGCATAAAATGCATATCAATTTGAAAGATGCTGGTTATAATGAGTTTGAGTGCTTCTATTAGTAAAAAATAAAGTGTAAAAGAGGGAAAGGAATTAAAGAAAATAAGGAAAGGGAATAAAAGAAAGAAAATTGGCAAATTTGTGCAAAAAATATTAGTACTACATGTGTTTGTGTTGATGTTGAACTTCGAAATTTCCTTTTCTTTGCATAAAACAATTTTTAATTTCCCTTTCAGAAATACTACTCGTACATCTCAAGCCATGTGAAGGGTAGTGTAGTAAAATACAACCACCTATTATACACCAATAATCGTGGGAAGTCAAATACCAAAAACCTCACGTGTCAAATAGCAAAACTCCCGTGGCTGTTAATTACTGAATAGTGTAGACTGTAGTTTAGTCACGTAACAAATCTAGATTATAAAAAAGAGTCCGGAGTCAAAAGGACAAAAAAAAATTGTCAAAAAATTCAAAAGAGCACATTAATTTTTTTTAAATCAATAGGACAAAATCGCTCCCGACGAAGTGATTTTCCTCTGACACATTTTTTTTTATGACAAGAGAAACCTGCAGTCGCTACCTTTTGGGTGCGCACAGGGTAAAACTCCGCTCCTATGCAATAGCTCGCAAACCACATAGGAGAAGTAACCTGCACTAGGCAAGCCCGGTGCGATGAGCTCGACCCAGAAGACAAACCCCTTTGACACATTTTTAACGCCGTTAGTCCGTTAAAAATAAAAATCGTTGTCAGGGCAGCAATTTTAAGTCCAATTTTTTTTCCCAACTAAAATCGCTGTTGTAGCAGCGTTTTAATTTTTTTAAAAAAGTTTCTTGAGAAATCGCTGCCTGACAGCGATTTTATTAGAAAAAAATGCTGCCCCTCCAATTTTTTATTTTTTTAAATTGTAACTCA